GTAAATATTATTCCCATTAAAAATAAGAGAATAAAGTCTGCAAACCATGGTCCAGCATATTTCTCCTTGATTCCTGGAAAAATTCTATAAAGTCCCTCTAAAAAGATAATAAACACCTATCAAAGGAACCAGTGGTTACAGAACCAACATAATTTCTTCAAGAACAGGTCATGCCGCACTAAGCTTATATCTTCTCTTAACAGTATTATTAAGTAGAACAAGGAAATGGCATAGCTACTACCTAGATTTTTTTTTTTTGGTTAGGCAGTCGGGGTTAAGTGACTTGTCCAAAATCACACAGCTAGTAAATGTCAAGTGTCTGAGGCCAGATTTTTAACTCAGGTCCCAAAGGACCTGACTCCAAGGTGGGAGCTCTATCCACTGAGCCACCTACCTGCCCCTGTAATACATAGATTTTAGCAGAGTATTTGATAAAGTATTTTTCTGGAAGAGATGTAGAGATATAGGATAAATAGGAAATAAGAGAGGATAGACAGTATTACAATTAGATGAATTTTGACCCAGTTGAATGGCAGGAACTCAAAGAATAGCTATTAAAAATTTAATGTCTTGAAAATAAAATAAAATTTAAAATGATTCAATGTTGACCTGCTAGTGCAGTGTCCCAGGCATTTGTGCTTGTCTCAGTACTGTTTAGCAATTTCATGAATGGTAAAATATTCAGCATTATTTTCAGATGACATAAAGCTGGGAGAGATAACTGATACATTGAATGGCAGAGTTAGTATCTAAAAAGATCTTTATAGGCAAGTTCACTGGGATGAATATATTAATACAATATCCAATATGGGTAAATGTGAAATCTTACACTTGGAAACAATCTCAGAAGTACACTATAGGAAAGGTAGGCTTAAATAGTGGTTTCTCTGAGAAAGAGCTGGCTGTTTCAGTGGATTGCAAGCTCAACATGAGTCAGCAGTGTGATGTGACAATCAAAAAAGCTTGTGTGATCTTGGGATATATTGGAGAGGCATAACTTTCAGGAAGAAAAGGGATAACATCCCTCTCTATTTCGCTCTTGTCAGATCACAACTGAAACATATTTAATTCTGGGTATCAGAGTTTAAAGCTATAGATAAGATAGAGAGCTTCCAGAAGAGGGTAACCAAAATGGTAAAAGGCCTTGCATTCATGTCCCAAGAGTTTTTCTTGAAACAGCTGGGGATATAAGCTTAGAGAAGAAAATACTTGGAGGGCTTAACAGTTGTCTTCAAAGTTTTAAAGGGATGTGATGTGGAAGACATGTTTTGTTTGGTCTCAGACGGTGGGACTGGGAGCAATGGCTAGAAGTTACAAAGAGACACATTTAGACTTGATATCAGGAAAAACTTCAAAATAATTTGCACTGTACAAAAGAAGGCTGCCTCAAGAAGTAGTAGGTTCCTCCTCATTGAAGCTATTTAAATAGTGGCTGGATTCACCTTTGTCCAATATGTTACTAGGGGAGGGGAACATCCATGTATGGGTTGAACTAAAAAAATCAGTGAAGATCCTTTCTTGTAGGATTAGGCCTGGTGGTCTTGACACCACCATGACAGTTTCCCCTTAAGTGATGCTGTAAGCTTACAGAACATTCTCATGGAAAAATACTGACAGTAATGTTTTTCAAAGGTTAGTACAACTGTGTCCCCCAAATAACGTTTTGTCTACCACCAGCTTATTTTTTCTCCCTGATAACAAACCCCCATAATAATATTTTGACTACCACCAGCTTGTTTCTCCTCCCTGATAATAAGCTCCCCAAAATAATATTTTGTCCTGACCCTTGATGTGCAACTCAGCCAACCCCAGGAGGGGATGCCCAGAATCAGTACAAGAACCCCACCCTCAGAAGGGCACTTTGGAGGACCCACTTCCAGCTGAATGGACCCATGTCTCTTTCCTCCCCAGTGCAGCATTGCTATCATGAGTTGTATTCTGTTAGTGTATATGCCCGAGTTGTATGTCAGGTTCCCTTTTCCTCTCTCCCTTTCTTCCTGTTCTCCACTGGCTGTAATAAAGCTTTGCATTGAACTGACTCTCATTATTTAACATGTTATTCTCAGCACCCAAACTTATTAAGGAGTAGTTTTCCCCAATGCCTCTGGCTGGCACACAGGCTATTGCTTACACATAAACTGGTCCAGTTCTCACTCCCTTTTTTCATGCTGTCTCTCTAGCAAATATGGGGAAAATGTCTAATTTGATAGCAGGTACACACCTTGTACTTATTTTATCTGATAGCACATAGAAGAACATAGTAACACCTCTCTCTTCCTGCCCCAAATACTTCTTGATTGATATATTCTAAATCAGGAGTTATTAAGCTATGGTTTATGAACTTGTATTTAAAAGATACATATTTTGATCACTGTATTTCAATATAATTGTTTTCCTTTGTAATCCCCTATGTTTTGTCTAATACATTTAAGAACTTAATTCCAATAAGGTCCTTAAGTTTCACCAGATTGCCAAAGGGGTCCGTCACTCACACGTGAACATGTGTATACATACACAAGATTAAGAACCCCAGTTCTAAAGGATAACCTGAAATCTCTAATGTTTCATGACATAACACTATCTCTCAAAAATACCAATGGAATGCTACCCTAACAGCTAAATTTATGCAAATGTTCCTAGTTCCTTATCTTCTGACTCATTTCTTCTTTAATAATGCTCTTAAAATTTCATTCCCCTACATTTTACAGGTTCACTGTTTTAGAATGAGAAGGAATCTTAGCAGTCATCTAGCCCACCCTCATTTTATAGATGTCCTTGGATGTTAGGCATTAAAGTAAAGATGTAGTGAGCAAAAGTTTTCCTGGGAGGGCTTCAGTTACAGAGGAAAGATAGAGAAAGAGATAGGGATAAAGAGAAGGAGGAAAGCTTCTCCTGATCACCTTGGAATGCTTATATGTCCATACTCTATGTAGTCATGTTAGAGATGGGGAAACTGAGATTACATGATTTACCCAAGATCACAGAAACTATTATTGACAGGGATCTGAACCACAGGTCCTACACCCTTTCCTCTGTACCATTTTGCCTTTGTGAACTTGTAAGGTATCTTTTTCTCATTTTTCTTTCCTCAGAATAGACATTGGTTTCAATTTAGTCACCTTATAGAACAGTGCCTTAGACTCACAGGATGGTAGATACAGAGACGAAGAGATCTTAAAGATCTCTTTTTATAAATCAGTAGAGATACCTGCTGCTTCTCAGTCTCCTTTGCAGGATTAACGCCCACTAACTGTGGATATAACCTAAAACCCTGTCCTATGCCTTCTTCTCTTTTCTCTTTCATGAATTCAATTATTATTTCAATGCAGATGGTTCTCAGATCTATATATCTAGCTGTCAGGGTCACTCTTCAGCATCTGATACAATGGATCACTCAGAACAAGAGGGTTTAAACAAACTCTCCTTTTGTTAAAATCATATTCCAGTATCCTCAGTTGGAAATAATTCTCAAGGAGGAGCCATCTCTAGCGTGGCGGGGAGGATGAAGGAAAAGGGAAAAAAATAAGAAAGTTACATGATAACTTTATTATATATTTTAAAGGAATAGCAAGTTATACATAATAGATTTTATACACAAAATTATCTTTTTCTCTATTCTAGCATATTATGGAAATGCTTGCTATTTATTCCTTAAGTTCAGAAAAAAATTTTTTTAAAAAAAATCTCTCAAGGAGGTATAGAGAATGAAAACACACATAAACCCCACCAGTAATAAAGTTAACAAAGCATTCAGTGAGGAGGATTCATGGGGTGTCAGAAGCTCCTCTCCAGTCTCAAAACACTACTTTTAGGAGCAGCTAGGTGGCGCAGTGGATAGAGCACCAGCCCTGAAGTCAGGAGGACCTGACTTCAAATCAAAAGGCCTCAGACACATAATACTTCCTAGTTGTGTGACTCTGGGCAAGTCACTTAACCCCAATTGCCAAAACAAACAAACAAATAAAAAAAATACCCTACTTTTAGACTCCTCTTGCTCTAAAAGTTCACAGCAGGATCCTACATCAATTTACCTGGGGGCATTGTATTTGTGTGTATATCCATATATCTATATGTAAAACAAATGTTGTCTCCCTCCTTAGAGATAAGAGCAAGAACAATTGTGCTTTTGTCTTTGTATTCCCAGCAATGATTCACAGCAGGAGTTTAATAAATGCTTGTTTTCAGCGATCTCGCGTAAGGTCACACAGGCAGTAAGGGACAAGGCAGGATTTTGAAGTCAGGGCCCCACACTCCAAAGTAGCTAACCCTCTTTGCATTTTACCTCACTACCCTTCTTACAACTGTAACAAACTTTTCTACTCTTGAAAGTCACCAGTTTTAATAAACACTCCAAAAATAATAATAATTTACTTGTAATTAAAGAATTAAGTAAAACCAGGGGCTATAAAGAAAATCTACTTTTTGTGTTGCATAATAATACATGGTCAGTGGACCAAAGCTTTGCTATATTGTGTGTTTTCTAATTGTTGAAAAAAAAATTAGTTTTATTTTACTCTGGGCTTTCAAAGTCATTAGTTCAAAATAGAATATGATACTGGCCATTATACCTAGACAATGTTTACTTTAAGTCTTAACATCCAAAGTTAACATACCAATAAGTGTGAAGTAATTATGTGGCTAATTCAAATAGCCCCTCCCAAAATGGGGTTTTTGCTGAGTTATGTGGATAATTGCCCTCATGTACTTTTTACATTTATCTTGAGACAATTGATTCATGGTGTTAAGAGCACTGGACTCAGAATCAGATAACTTGAGTCTGCCATCTTACCTGTGAGATCATGAGCAAGGTATTTAATTTCTCTAGGCTTTCTCATCAATAAAATAGGGAACAGACTAAATGAGAAAGCCTCTCATGCCTTTCTAGTATTCAATCTATAATCTTATGATCTATGGGTCAACAAAGTTCAAAGGTGTAAGCTGCATATCAAATATCAATGTAAATAGATTATATGGGTAAAAATAAATGGAGTTAGACTTACATCTTTTCCACGAATGCCATCCAGTCCTGGATCTCCCTTTTGTCCCTGTTCACCCTGGAGGAGGGGGAAGGAAATGTGTAAAATAAAAATAATATATTTGAAAACCTTTATGAGGAAAAAAAAAAGATTAGATCCTCTGTTCTGCAACTTACTACATACAGCTATGTTTGCAAATACCCTGAAGAACATTTCTTAAAGAATAATCCTGGATTCCCCAAGCCAAATACTCAGAGAATTAGAAAAAGTTTCAAAGGAAAGGAGCAGGTAATAAGTAAGTAGAAGAATGCAAGGCTAGAATCATTCATCTTCATCATCAAAAATACTTATTAAGTGCCTAATATGAAGAGGCACAATATTAAACACTCTACCATGAGCACTACAAAAATGCAAACCCCCATTCTCTAAGGCAGTATAATCTTAGGTCATATTGAAAATACAGAGAACAAAAACAACAATGTAAAAATGTTAAATAAAAAAATTGACTGTATGAGACTTTTACCACATACAGGCCAAAGGTAAGCACATCTGAGTACATTCAAGCAATGATATTAAAATGGGGGAAGAGGGAAGTTAATTACATAATTACAGTGGGGAGTCAGGAATAGAGTATCTGTGAAAGCTCCATTTCTGTGGGGAAGGAGAAATGTTTTGAGGTTGCTTTTAAGTTCAGCCTCAGAAAAAGAAGGCAAAAAATGAGAATTAGCTCTCCCACTTTGCCCAAAAGTGAAACAAAACACAAAAAAACTATAGCATGGAAGTTTAAAATTAGGATTAATGTATTGTATTGGAAATGTTGTTAAACACTATAAGAGCAAAGCTTTGGCATATCCTGAGAAATGTCTTTAAAAATGTGATAAAACAGCTCCCAAAGACAATATTGAAGGGTGATCCTAGGTGAAGGTAAGAGGATACACACACACAGGCACACACAGGCACATATATACATACATACATACATACATATGAAAGATATGTGAAAATAAGCAATTTCATCAGTGAAAGGAACTCTTTCCACAAACTTATATCACAACCAATCTATGACTTGTTACTGAGCACAGCAGAATAGAGGGAGAAGCAAAGATTAGTAAGATTATTTCTATACTGAGATTAGATTAAAGTGAGATTATATTCTGAGAACATATTTCAAGGGAGAGGGGAGAAGGTATAAGAGAGTCATTCAGGCAAGTGTGGAAACAGAGATGTAGTTGAGGCCTGAATGCTGGTGATCACCATGTACACCTCCCCAGTGTAGTATATATAGCAAAGATAAAAGGCAGAAAGGGATTTTAATCTAGACCAATTTATCAGAATCATGGGCAGCTAAGCTCACCACTAGGTTTATGTTCCATACAGAGGTTGGGTGGGAGTACTTTAAAACCTAACATCTGACCTGGTAAAATGAAATCTAGTAGGTTAGAGTGAAAAAGAAACCCTAATTCACAACCAAGTCCAGAGACAAAGTTTGGTCACATAGATGTGCCTTTTATCATACATTATTTTTTAATTTACAGGACAAAATATTTTCCCATATACAATTTCTTTTTGACTAATAAAATAGAATCTATCATCCAAATTTGACATTGTTAAGTACCTAGTACCATGTAAGTGCTTGATATATGTTTGATTGATGGTAATGATAATGAGGATATCAATTAAGAATAAATGACAATGATTAGTACAATGTGACAACTGAATAGACAGAGGAATAGGATAACTCTTCAAAAGCTGATGAGCTGCATTCAAACTTAATTCAACAAAATTTATTGATGGTCAACTATGTACTGGATCTGGGCCAACACTGAAACATTTTTTTTTAATCAAACTTTTTTTAACATTCTTTTTTTTAAATAAAAATTTTAGTTCCACATTTTCTCCCTTCTCCCTAAGATGGTAAGCAATTTAATATAGGTTATATATGTGCAATGATGTAAATATATATTTCCATATTAGTCATGTTGTAAAAGAAGAAACAGAACAAAAGGAAAAAAAAACTATCAAAAAAAGGTGAAAATTTGATTTGCAGTCAGACTCTATCAGCTCTTTCTCTGGATATGGATAGCATTTCCATCATGAGTTTTTTGAATTATCTTGGATCATTGTATTGCTGAGAAGAGCTAAGTCAATCATAGTTGATCATCACACAATATTGCTGTTACTGTATACAATGTTCTCCTGGTTCTGCTCACTTCACTTTGCATCAGTTCATGTAAGTCTTTCCAAGGTTTTTTCTGAAATCTACCTGCTTGTCATAACATTGAAACATTTTAGTAAGTCCAAAGAGGAGTACAGAAGGTAGTTCAGAAAAATTCATAGACAAGCAGAACAGTTTTGGAAGTAATGAGTTGAATTTGTTATATCCTTTAAAAAAGCAAAAATTATATTCTCTTTTTGTGCTCTGCTTTGTATAGAAAACACTCTTTTTTGTGTGTGTTGGTTAAGTTCAGAATTTTTAAAATGTGCCCATAAAAAAATAGACCCAAGTCAAGGTATCAAGTACAGCAATGTGTGTTAGTGGAAAAGAAATTGAGAGCCAGAGTCAAAATCTAGAATTTAGTCCTCCTATGCTTTAACTAGATATGTGATATTAGGTTAATAATTTAAGAATGTTTTAAAATGAGACAATGGATTAAAGTATTTTGGGGAGTTAGAAGTGCTATGGAAATAATAATAACTCACAGTGATGTAGTGCATTAAGGTTAATGGAGCCCTTTCCTCACAAGTTGCATAATATTTCAAGTAATATTGTCCTCATTTTACAGATGAGGAAATTGAGGCTCAGAAAGGGTGAATTTTTTTTCCCATGGTAAAAACTAGTAAGCATCAGCACTTGAACCCAGGTCGCCTTTCCCCAAGACTATTTGCCCTTTCCACTCTATGCCAGAAAACTTACTAATACAGTGTCTGTGCTAAGGAGATTGGACTTGGTTTATTTTGTAAAATCTCAAAATGAACTTGTACCAAAGGTCTATTACAAACCCCTGTTCAGAGACAAGCAGTAGCAATGCTCTGAATAGCTGAGATCTCAGAGGGACTTTATTATCCTTCTAAAAAAAGTCTATTCATGTCTTAAAATGTTCATAATTCTTTTAACTAAATGGCATGGAACCAAGATTACTCACCTAATTTCACTTGTGACATGAACCTAATTCAATTTTGTCTCCATGGGCAGTATGAGAGAAAATGTAATAAAATAATTTTTGCAAGATCAGTTCCTATCAAATTTCTTAAATAAGTCACAAAGGAATTGAATAAATATATTAGTAGCTCCAGATCACAAAAATGATTAAGTTAATGTAATAGATTAAAACTTCCACCAGTTTCCTATATTGATACTTCATTATAGTGTATACAGGTGTGTGTGGGGGGAAGGACCCTAGGTACTGAAGGTTATGTCAGCAAAATGTGAACCATGACAGGTCCTAACAAGCTAGAAAGCCCTCCAGGATAGCTTTGACAATTAACTGAATGTCTATCATCTGAGGACCAGCCTAAATAAGTGCAGAGATGTTAGTTGGTCAACAGGTGATGAATTATTTCAGTAATGAAGACTTTCTACTAAAATAGAGAGGAATTACAATCTGCAGCAGAGGAGGGAGTACACATAGTAATATAAATCATGCAATGATTGGACATAAACAAATTTTGAGGGGGGCAAGTGGACTGTGATTTCATCAATCCATGGAGCTCCTGGAAATAAACTACTTGGAGGTAGCTAAATGACACAGGAGATAGAGCACTGTCCCTTAAGTCAAAAAGATATGAGTTTAAATCTGACCTTAGACAATGCTTGGCTGTGTGACACTAGGCAAGTCACTTAACTTCTTTTTGCTTTAGTTTCCTCATCTGTAAAATGGGGATGATAATAATAGCAATAATAATCTGCCAGGGTTATTGTGAGGATCAAATGAGATAATAGTTATAAAGTGATTAGCACAGTGCCTGTCACATAGTGAACACTATATGCACATATATATTAGCTATTATAATTAAATAGTTTCCTGGGGCACTGAGATGTTAAGTGACTTGCACAGGGTCACATAGCCTGTGTGTGTCAGAGTTGGTCCTTCCTGATTCTAAGACCTGCTCTCCGATGTCTCTCCTAATAGCAAGTCCTATTATAAAAAAAAAAAATTATCTAAAAAAATAATTCCCATATAGTCCAGAGATTTCTAAGTCAGAATTACCAGTCCACTTTTTCCAATACAATTCCATATTGTATGATTCCACATTCCAATTTCCAATTCCGTACAAAAACAAGATCAGTATGGCTACAGAGTTCAGTCCTAGAATTCATAGTACCAGGATGTAATCTACAATTTGATTAGCCATTTAGCTCCTTGGCACAGTGTAGCTAAAACAACATTTGGTTTATATTAGCCCAGCTCATCTCTAGATTCCTAAATAGCAACTAGGACCCATAAGTAGGGTAAAAAAAAAGTTATTGCAATAAAAAGAACATGACTTTGGAGAATGAGGTTGCATCAGACAAACGCCCAGCTCCCCAGCTATCCTTGAATTTTTTCTTTCTTTCTTTTTTTTTTTTAAAGGCAATTGGGGTTAAGTGACTTGCCCAAGGTCACACAGCTAGTAAGTGTCAAGTGTTTGGTCTGAGGCCGGATTTGAATTCAGGTCCTCCTGACTTCAGAGCCAGTGCTCTATCCACTGCACCACCTAGCTACCCCGTGTTTCTGCTTTCTAATCTAGTATAGATTCTCTCCTTCTCTATCAACTGGTCTTCCTGCTCATCTCTTCCTCTACAATTCCTACTTGTGGGTCCTAGTTGCTATTTAGGGATCTAGAGATGATTTGGAAGAGCAATGTGAGTCTTGGAGTTTATGGATAGGAACACTTTCCTTCTCTTTCTCTACCTTCTTATTTTACTCCACTTCAACTTGAGCCTTTTATTCTCAAGACAAATCTAAAGTTGGTCATGAAAACCACTGCAGGATTTTTTAATGATCAGCTAAGATTTCAAAGACATGTTTTCTTGAGTTACAGCTTTTCAACAACACTTGAATTTGTCATAACCTATGAAATATTCAAAATTACATCAC